CAAATCTCTTAACATGTTAGATATTAAGTCACTGCACATTCTCTCATGTGTATTATACATATATAAAACGCTAAACTATAATGCCAATCCTGATCTTAAAAGCTTCATAGAAGGTTGTAACAGAACCCATGAGCACCACACCAGAAATAAATACAGTTTTGATATTCCTAGACTACGTCTTAATCAAACTAGAAATGCTCTGCAAATCAAGGGGCCCAGAATGTGGAATGACCTTCCCAACCATGTTAAAGACTGTACCTCTCTCAACCAGTTTAAGATAAAAACTAAACACTACCTAATAAATTCCCTGTAATCTACCTCACTCTCTATTGTCAACCCATGTCTGTATTTTCTTTTTTTTTTTTAATCAACACTGTTTGTCAACCTATTGTATTTGTGCTGCTTTTTCAGTCATGTTCCCCCTTTTTTTTATCTTTATTTGTATTTGTTCTCAACACCTTTTATTTTTTATGCTCAATTAGTATTAAGTTCTAGATATTAATGTTTTTCTTGCCCGAAACACATTGCGTAATAGTGGCTTTAGGCATTGTATGTACTAGCTCTATCTATATATCAATCCTTTAATGTAACATCACTTGAATGTATATACCTTACCTGAATAAACATCTGAATCTGAATCTGAATCTGTAAAATCTCTTTATGTATGTACCTTACCTAAATAAAAATTATTATTATTATTAAGCAGCGTCTGAAAATAAAGCTGGGCCGGCCACCAAGGGACCATAAGGACTACTCTCATGGAAATGGGCTCCAACTGAGCCAGAACCCGAAGCAACAGCTGGACCAGGAGAAGAGGAACAGGTACCCCCACCTCGTCCAGTCCTGCCGAAAGGCATCCACCATGAACGCCTCGCAGGCGGGTAAGGGTGCCACATAGAATGGGCAATGCCCAGACAACGCCGACCCCAAAGGTCAAACACCTAAGAGAAAACCTGTGGTTCCGGCAAAGAAACGCCAGAGAACAGACTGAATGGAGCCGAATGGTAGAGCACCGAGTGACCCAAACCCTCCGAAGCACAAACCAGACAGCCACGAACTCCCGAACCGTGCTGTTAGCCTGACGGACGGACAGACCCTACCATTCCCGGCCGACCTGGTGAGCACTGGTTATAAAGCCCCAGCCGAGAGATGACCCGTCCACCCCAAAGAGGAAACTGGTGACGCAGCACCAACACAAGATCCCGGGAGGAACAAACCCAACGATTGCAAGAGAGGCAGAAGGGGAGTCTCCGAAGGAACCAAACAGATGCCGAAGCCAAACCCGACCCTGCGGGCAGACCAGCACGTCGAAGGTCAGACTCACGCACAACTTCTCGACCAACCGCCGAGCAACCCTGGACCCCCTCATGAACAGCCGAAGGCGGGACCACAGCCGCAGCACCACTTTTGGAGGGAAAGACAAGGAGCGGCCCAAGAGCCCTAAACAAGACCCAGCCAGGTCTGAACCCGGGACGGAAACATATGGAACGGCCTCCAGATCACCAGGAAACCAAACCCGGTGATCTGGAAAGAACCACACCCCTGGCGAACAGACAAGCGGACCAACTGGGAGCCCACACCAGCCAGTCATCGAGGTAGGCCAGACACCGAATCCCAAGCAGACTCAGACAGGGCACCAAGATCCGGTAAAGATGCATAAATACACCAAGTGCCAATTACAAAATAGGGAAGGCAACAAAAGCAGTAAGCCTGAAGCCCCACCGCCAACTGTGCCAGTCCCGGTAAACTGGAGAGGAACATGCCAAGAATTGATCTGGAGGTCTAGGGCCACCATCCAGGCACCCGGCCCCAACAGAAGCCAGACAGGAGACAACAGTCCTCCGATGAGGGCAAAGAATCCAGGGCGCAGACTGAAGAAGTCCAGAAGAACCGCAGATTCGACAGGCCCATGTCTGCATTGAGCAGACGAGGACCCCAGAAGGATGGGGCGGATCGACCACGTCCCATGCACCCACGAAGATGACATGATGAAGCGCAGGGAAAAAAGCTTACCACGCCAGCCCTGAACCTCCCAAAGGGGAAGAAGCCGTCCACCGCCGCCACCAGAGGCCGGAAGACAACCAAAAGCGCCCCCTAACTGCAGGACCATGCGAGAGTCAGCAGAGCAAGCTGCTCTCCCAGCGCCCCGTCAACAGAGAAGGGAACAGAGCCCCTTCCGAAAGAAAAAGTATACATACACATATATACATATATTATGTATATACACATATACATATACACACAAGGTATGTTACACACACGTACACACACACACACACGTGAAAAGAAAATTACAAGCCGCCGACCAGTGGGCAGAGAGCACCACGCCGGCCAGGCAAAGAAGGCACAAAACTGCATCAAAAGGCCCACCTCGACAACAAAACTGCATCAAAGGCCCACCTCGACAACAAAACCCCAAAGTCCCAGCATGACCATAACATGTGCCAAGACCCAAAAAGATCAGTCTGCAAGCCAGGAAGACCCCGGAACCCTAGAAGGCAGAACTGGGTCACACACGAGGAAACAAACCCCCCTGAACCCACAAAGGGGGCCCAAGAGGAAGAAACCTCCAGAACAAAACCAAAGAACCCAAAAGAACCTGGAATCAAACCAGGGGAGCCCAAACCACCACATTTGCCAGCGGAGATACACCACAGAAAGGCAAAGCATAGCCCCCGACAGAACCCCCTGGGAAATGGTCAAAACAGACCAAAAACCGAGGGACAAGGTGTGGGAGCAAGCATAACAGCCAGGGACACTGAGCCCAAACCCAAGGGCCCAGACCCAAAACAGACAAAATGGAAAACCCGGTGTAAAATCAACACTCAAACGTTCCCAGAGGAACAGGAAACGAGCAGAAAACACCAGAAAAGCAAAGAAATGACAACAGGAGAATAAAACCCTTGAAAAAGGTGAAAAACTCACCCAAGACGCTCGCTCGCACACCCAGGCGCATGTAAACAAACCGCAACGCCGCCCTGGAGGCCACGCCGGGAAACCGGCAGAAGAAAATGGCCACCAGAACAGAGGGCTGTGACGGACGCAAAAGATACGAAAACACGCCAGCAAAATTGGGAAACAAGCAGACTAAATGGGCAAAAAACTCAGCCAAGAAGCAGAAAACCAGGCAGGGGCAAACTGCCCCAGAACTGCTAGCAGGCATCCCCCACAGCCCTGGGAACATGCAACAGAGGCCCCGGGGCAGAGCTGTTCTCCAAGCCCTCCGCCCTTAAAGAAAAGGAAGAGTCCATGGGAAAGGCAGCAAGAAAGGGCTGCTGGTAAGACCCAAAAGCCTTGGCAGGAGGAAAGGCTCGAAAACCTCCGTCCCCAACCCGAATGGGTCAGCCCCCCGAAAACCGCCAGAGTCTCGGTCCTAACTAAACCCCGCCCCGATCCAAAAACTCGCAGACAGTCCGGAGCCGGGAACAGGGAGGGAAAGGGGTGAACAGCACCTAACCAAAACGGGGCGGCCCCGGGGCATCCGAGTGGGAAAACCAACCTAGTGTGTTGCAGCAACCTAACCTAGCTTGCAACACGGATGCTGCCTGTACTCTGAACAGTAATAACATCAGGAGGGTACTGGAGAACAAGCAAAGAATATAGCTCGCAAGACTCCGGGTCAAGGTGCCAGTGACCCAACAGTCAGCATGACGCAGGTAAAAGTGGTGACTGTCACCCGGAGACAAGGGCACAGCAACCAACGAACCAGTACAAGACCGGTTGAAACCCGGAAGACACATTCAATGGTCCACCGAGCCCCGACAGGGGTTTCCAGGGGCCCATAGGGTAACAACTACGGGAAGCCTGGGCAAGGTGTTGCTAACCGGTTAAAACCCAAAACTAACAAGGGGTAGAGGATAACACTGAAAATCCCTGCGACGTGTACAATCAGGGGGGGCCTAGCAGAGAGCCACCAAACACTACCAGTGGAACTATAGCCACACTAGGCAGACCCCCCTACCAGGCAAATAAAAATAAAAAAAAAGAAAACCCCCACAAAAGTACACTGTCAACCAGAGGCAACAGGAACCAGTTGCCGCATAGGTGGCAGGTTGCGCAACACCTTGACGCCCTAACCAGCACAATACCAGTCCCTACCCAGGGCCAAACAAGAACCCCAAGCCCCAGCTGGCCCCAAGGGCGAGGCAAATGCCGAACAGCAAGAACCTCTACAGGAATGGTTCCCGAACGCCCGTAGGAGGATAACCCTGACACGCAGGGGCAGTACTCACAGGACGCTTAGGGAAGAAGGCCCCTAAGCGCATGCAGCCCCGGTACTGGTGAGGAACACCTGGCAACCGCAGAACACAACACACGGCAGTGAACGCCACGAAAGGCAAACACTGCCTAGGAAACTGAGGTCAGAGAAGCATCTATCCCGGTTGACATTAGCTTATGAACTGATGCTGGGCAGCTGGCGTGATGAGATCCGGGGCTCCACCCTCCCCCTCTCGGGGCAGGGAGGGCTGCGCAGACGATCGGCGAAGCAGTAAAGTCTGATGTTTGCTTGTTTGCTTTTTCCTTGGGATTGTAGGGAGTTTCTACCTCTCTGTTTGATTTTCTGTTTTAGTTTTTACCATGTGGGGTTTGTTTTGTTATGCCTACCTTTCTGGGTGCCTAACCCCAGTTGATGGCAGATAAGGAAAACCCCAACCACAAGGGGGTTTTCCAAGGTCATTGCTCCCTGAAACCTCTCTGAAGGGTCCAGGTTCTGGCACTGGTCCCTGGTAGGTCTGAACTCCTTAGCTAATGTCCCGGTCTAATAACATACATTAGCCCGATAAGCTCCAGGGAGCCATAGGGGCTCCCACAGAAAAGTGCTATATACCTAGCACTTTTGTATGATCTGTGAGTGGTAGTAGAGATGGGGTAACCTGGATGATGCTCTTTCCCAGAAGCTTCCAGAAGTAATATACAGCACTTCACAAACTCTATGTCACTCTAGGTCTTTTTACTTCTACTTTTAGTGGCAATTTAAGTTACTTTCATTAGACAACAACTAAAACATTAATTTGTTAAATATTAATTTCAGAAGTGCTTAAAATACTGTGCAATAGATGCTTAAACAGTGTATTAATTATCAACTCTTGGTATTTTTTTTTTTTTTTTTTTGAATTTGAATACAAGTACACTATTGTATAAGTATACATATAACTTACATCCAAGTGTTCCTGAGTAAGACGTTTGAAGCTATCTTGTCCATCTTTTAATCTTTCATAGATAATAGAATCAGCACCTTTGCAATATAAACGTATCTTCCCATCTTTTTTTAATATTACAGACATGCGCTTCCGAACATTGTTGAAGTCCAGAATGCATAACAATTCATAAGTTTCTGGTATGTCCTTAGCCTGGAAAATAGATAGAAATAAATTAAAATGAATGAGAAATCAAACCAAGCAATTTTGGGCTAGTCTATGAGAAGAACTTGGAGTAAATTATATTATTCGTTGATCTTAAATAACAGTGAATTTTGAAATAGAATTATTATGGAAATGTTTTATAACAAGTAATAACTGATGAGGTTAATGTAAATAATTTGAAAATACTGTATACAAAATTGTTTAATAAGATTTTCTGAGGGAAATGCCTTGTAATTACCTAAGTGTACTTACAGGATGAGACCTATGATCGTGGTGTCCAATCTTCCAGCACTCTTTGTCATATAACGCTTTGAAACTATTTACGGTTTTGGGCTCCACCACTTTCTCATCTAACTTGTTCCAACCGTCTACCATCTGTTTGCGAAAGTGAATTTTCTTATACTTCTTCGGCAGCTTTGTTTAGTTAATTTAAATCTATGAACTCTCTTTCTTGAAGTTCCAGGTCTTGGAAACTGTTCCCTATCAATTTTATTGATTCCCGCTACTATTCTGTACTTAGTGATCATATTACCTCTTTCTTCCTTCTTCTAGTTTTAGCATATTTAGTGTTTCTAACCTCTCCTTGTAGCTCTTGTCCTTCAGTTCTGGGAGCCATTTAGTTGCATGTCTTTGCAACTTTTCCAGTTTGTTGATGTGATTCATAAGATATGGGCCCCATGAAACCGCTGCATATTCCGGCTTCGGTCTAACAAAAGTCGTGAACAATTTCTTTAGTATTTCACCATCCATGTATTTAAAAGCAATTCTGAAATTATAAAATGTAGCATAGGCTATCTAGAACCGCCTCAAAATCTCTTTATCAAAATTCTTTAAAGATTTCTCACAATTTATAGGTTGTGTGGGATCTATATTCTCCTATTACACATTCTATTACATGGGATTTATTCACATTAAATTCTATTTGCCAAGTGGTGCTCCATACACTTATTTTGTCTACGTCTTCTTGAAGGGCATGACAATCATCTAAGTTTCTTATTTTCCCTATTATTTTAGCATCATCAGCAAACATGTTCATATAATTCCGCATTCCATCTGGTAGATCAGAGGAAGGGAGAACCATGCTAGAAGGGAAAGTTAGAGGTGTGGACTTCCTTCCATGATTTAAGGAAGTACGCTGCTCTTGCTGCTGTCTTTGGTAAGATATCTTAGATCGACATTCAGGTGTGGGAGTTTTGCATGTCGAACAGGGTTCTGGCTGCCAGGTATCTCGTGAATGTCCTGGGCCCTCTCTAGCCTTGAATTGTGTTGGAGAGTGTCGCAGCCGTCAGTCTTTGACTTGACACCTGTGGTGCTGCCGCCTCTCGGAAAAGGCCCTTTTTTACTTATCTGTGGGTAGTTAGCTTCAGGGAGCCGATGGAGCTCCCCACAGAAAACAAGAATTGAATGCAATGAAACACCATTTTTTGGGTGAGCCCCAGAGGCTCCCTGACACCCTCCCTCCCTCCCTCCGGTCGGTGGTCTGCATCGTTCAAGAACTGGAGTGGTTGACTGCCAGCTCCCCCTCCCTCCTTCCCTCCCTTTCAGGGGAGGCAGTAGTGTTAACAAGCAGGAGTGCTAGCTGGGTGAAGTGTTGCTTGTGTTCTTTCTGGAGTCGTTCTATTGCTATATTCAGACAGAAGTTACAATTTTCACCAGATTGTGGTCTGTTTTGTTTCACCTATCTTTCTGGGTGCCCTTCCCAGTCATTGGCAATTATGACATACTGTAAAGTAAAGTGCTCTTAGGCCATTGCTCCCTCCGCCTCTGAGGGGACCAGGTTCTAGCTTGTGGTTCTCGGTAGGCATAAGGACTCCTGTGACTGATGACCCCAAACCAATATATCGCATATCAGTTTGGATAGCTTCAGGATGCCTCTGAGGCTATCCCAGAAAATGGCATTTCATTACATTCAACACTGGGTATTTTCATACCCGCAGTCCATGGGTTAAATTCCATTTTGTGTGTCATTTGAATTTCTCCTCTGTATTATGAGATTACTTTTATCTCTTTCCATTATTTAACCACTGTCCTGTGCCAATCGAGACAACACCTTTTTAATATTTCGTACCCATTCAAAACACGCACATGGTAGGTTGACTACAAAATGGACTCTTGGGACCTCCAGTGAGAGGCAGTCATCTAGGGAAAAAATCCCAGAATGCCTTAGGGCTGCTGGCTGGCTTACCAAGTGAGCAACCATGGGTGGCGCACATGCCTCTAGCTCCCAAACACTTGTCCGACGTGGTGTTCAAAGATCGCTCTCTGTCGGTGAAATTCAGACCTTATTGTTTGAAGAACATAAGGGTTATGATATTGATGAAGTTAGGCACAATAAGGACCTAACACAAGGGTTGGATGCAGGTGATACAGAACAGATGAGGACGATATAGCGAGCGAGCGTGTCCAGTAATAGCCGAGTGCCACCCTTGCTCACCCGTGTTATCTCCAATTTTTATAGATGATACATAGATGAATAATTTTCTGGGTTCGGTGATGATGCATCTGATACAAGTAGCATAGGTGAGCAGTGTTAGCGGCTTCCATTGTGGTGTTTTCCATAGATCTTTTCCAGAATAGCTGAATCTCTTCCAGAATAGCCGAATCTCTTACAGAATGTCTGACTCTCTTCCAGATTACCTTACAAAGCGACCTTTTCAAGACAACCTTACAAATTGATCTTTTCCTATAATCTTTTCACGCCTATCTTACATTTTACAAGCTTGGCTACATACCAACTACATGTACTAAAGCCAAGGGTGTACGTGAGTGCATTATTTGCAAGCACACAGAACGAAGAAACAGGAAGCAAAAATCTGTTTGTACCTGGTGCATCAAGAGTTTAGTCGCGCTGTGTACCATGGACTGCTTCATTAATTATCACTCAATTTTGAAGTACTAAGTAATTACCTAAGTATAATTACCTAAGTGTAGTTACAGGATGAGAGCTACACTCCTGGTGTCCCATCTTCCCAGCACTCTTTGTCATATAAAGCTTTGAAATTACTGACAGTTTTGGCCTCCACCACCTTCTCACCTAACTTGTTTCAACCATGTACCAATCTCTTTAAAAAAAGTGAATTTTCTTATATTTCTCCGGCAGCTTTGTTTCGTTAGTTTAAATCTATGACCTCTTGTTCTTGAAGTTCCAGGTCTCAGGAATTCTTCCCAATCAATTTTATCAATACCTGTTACTATTTTGTGTGTAGTGATCATATCACCTCTTTTTCTTCTATCTTCTAGTTTTGGCATATGTAATGCCTCTAACCTCTCCTCGTAGCTCTTGCCCTTCAGTTCTGGGAGCCACTTAGTAGCATGTCTTTGCACCTTTTCCAGTTTGTTGATGTGCTTCTTAAGATATGGGCACCCTACAACCGCTGTATATTCCAGCTTTGGTCTAACAAAAGTTGAGATTAATTTTTTTAGTATTTCTCCATCCATGTATTTAAAAGCAATTCTGAAGTTAGAAAGTGTAGCATAGGCTCCTCGCACAATGTTCTTAATGTGGTCCTCAGGTGACAGTTTTCTATCTAGAACCACCCCTTTCTTTGTCAGACTTCTTTAAAGATTTCTCACATAATTTATAGATTGTGTGGGGCCTATGTTCTCCAATTCCACATTCCATAACATGGCATTTATTTACATTAAATTTCATTTGCCAAGTGATACTCCATATATTTATTTTGTCCAGGTCTTCTTGAAGGGTATGACAATCATCTAAGTTACTTATCTTCCCTATTATCTTAACATCATCAGCAAACATGTTCATATAATTCTGTATTTCATCTGTTGAATTGTTTATGTAGACAATGAACATTAACGGTGCAAGAACCCTGTGGTACTCCGCTTGTGACATTTCTCCAGTTCAATATACTTCCTCTTATTACTGCCCTCATTTTTCTATCAGTCAGAAAAATTGTTCATCCATGTTAGCAGCTTACCTGTCACCCCTCCAATGTATTGTGTAATACAGTATTACAGTATAAATAATGAGTGAAACTGTACATATTGTAGTTTTAGTGAATTTTGAACAAGTAATATTGCACCAATAAACATTCATTGTGGTCATTACTGACACATGTATCACAGTTCCATGGAACATTATGAAAGTTCTACAGTATATATATTGTAAAGGACACAAATATGCATCATATACAATAAAAAAAAATGCATTGGAAATACATAGAACAAATAATTGAAAATATATTTGTGGCAATTCGCAGTGCTTGAATGGCCCTCGTGACCACCTCTGGGAGCTTCACTCAGGGGCGCATAACAAACACGACCTCTTCTCCATGTCCCCACAGCCAAAGTAAGTGGAATGTTTCAGTTTATTTTACATTTACATCTTCAGGGAAGGGAATTTATCAAATTTTACTTTGTAAAATTTTGCAAAGATAAAATATTTTGCAAACACTTGATTTTCGGCACACAGGGGAAATGTCACAATAAACGAAGCTCATCACAGTGGTTAAACAGCTTCCCTTTACTTTGCATTATTTGCATCCCCCTACCCTTACAATATATAAATGAATGAATACACACACACCACAAGCATAGCTCTCATCCTGCACTTTGGTAATTACACACCATTGTACAGATTACTTTTACTACCAACATCAAGAGGTATACTCACGATAATAGTAATACTATTTGGTGTGCGAGACTTGAAAACAAAGCCAAAATTTCTTGCAGCAGACACTAAGGCACCTTCGTCAGGGGACTGTGCTTGATACTCTAATTTCCCTGTAATGAAGTGAGCAGTCATAACACTGGATCTACTGTACACATTTAACACATATAGGTAAAAGTCATTAAAAAAATTTAACTTTATAAATCTTTTGTTGAATGAGACTCAGCTCAGTGTTGTTAATAATGTAGCAAATGAATTGGAATAGGTTGCAAAAAATTACTTAATCCCCTTGTCACTAAACCTAGGGCTTTTTATTACCCTGTTAATTAACCATTACTAAGCTAATTATCTTCAAGATAATTTTTTTATGATTATTATTTTTCTTATTATTTTTTATTTTACATTTATATTGTCAGTCTCTACTGATTTTTTGTGTTTTATTTTATGTAACTTCTGTGTCCTCCCTGGCTATCTATTGGATCTTTATTTTACTTCTAAATTGTTACTATTTTATTGTATCTGCTCTTATTCTTGTGTTTTGCTTTATCGTGTATCTTGTATCGTGATCCCTCTGCATCTCTATGCACACTGATATTGATCCTGATCAAAATCTTCTGTCTCATATCTATACCAACCAGCACATTGATCATCATTATTGTAAGTATTTCACAGCACACCAGGCTAAAAACAAACTCCAAAATAGCACCTATCTATCAGTTTATAACCAAAATGTTAGATCACTTGGTAAACATTTTGACGATTTAAATGCACTACTCACAGCACTAGGTACTAACCTATCGTTCATTATTTTAACAGAAACTTGGCTAAATAAAGACTATACCCAACTCTACAACTTAGCTGGTTATAAAGCCATTCATAACTGTAGGCCTAATAAAAAAGGTGGTGGCACAGCTATATATTACCGAGATACATTTATCTGCAACAGTGTTATTAGTGACAGAGATGACTACTGTGAATATACTTTTGCTCAGTTTACAATTAAATCCCTTAAATCCTCTTTGACTATTGGAGCCATCTATAGATTTCCTAATACTAACATAGCTTCTTTCTCAGACAACCTAAGGAATCTTATTATAAACAACAATCTCAACAAAAACCACATCATTCTGGGAGGAGACTTTAATATTGACCTGGGTCAACAAAACTGCTCTCAAGTTGACTATTTCCTTAACAGCATGAACTCCTGTATGCTAATCCCCACAATCACCAAACCTACCCGAGTCACTCAAACATCAGCCACTACCTTGGACCACATATGGACAAACATAACAGCTCCCCTTGTATCTGGTATAATCTACGACAGAACAACTGACCACTATCCTACCTTTCTCATAGCGAACATGGACATAACACCACCAAAAAGCAAGAAACTTTAATTTAGGCTACACAGTGAATCAGCTTTAGACAATCTTACAGAGGCACTTCACAATATTAACTGGGATTCTGAATTCAATAATACCCATGATATAAATTCATTAGCTAACCTCTTCCTCTCCAAAACTCTAAGCCTCTACAACCTTCATTGTCCCCTTCTTACAAAGCAAGTAACTGACAAAAGATTAAACAATCCATGGCTCACAAGTGGCATTCTCAACTCAATCAACAAGAAACATGAATATGAAAAGAAAGTTAGGATTGGCCTAGTTTCAAAGGAAGTAGCTAAAAGGTACTCATCAATGCTTACCAGTATCATAAGAAAGGCAAAACTTGCATATTATGTGAATAGATTCAATGAAGCAAAAGGCAACATGAAAAACACTTGGAAAACTATCTCTAGTATCCTAGGAACTAAACAACACTCACATAACCAAATAAAACTCTACAAGGATGGGGATATACCGTCAACTGATTTAGAAATGGCAAATGAATTTAATAGTTTCTTTTCATCGGTTGGTGCTAATCTTGCCAGTAAAATCCCACAGACTCAGACACATATTAACACATATCTCTCAGGCAGCTATCCAAACTCTCTTCTCCTTTCACCAATCAGCCCGGCAGATGTTGTGTCCATCATACACTCTCTAAAAACCAAGGCAGGGAACACCAGTGAAATTCCGTCCATTGTGTACAAGAGAGCCTCCCATGCCCTTGCCCCACCCATAGCACTACTGTTCAACAAATCTATAGAGTGTCACACCTTCCCTGATATCCTCAAAAAAGCAAGAGTAACGCCAGTCCATAAAGGAGGCAATCCGGCGGACATAAACAATTATAGACCAATATCAAATCTACCCATTCTATCAAAAATATTTGAAAAAATTATTTACAAACAGCTCTATTCCTACCTCGTAAAATTCGACATACTCAGCCCCTGCCAGTTTGGCTTCCAGTCCCAAAAGAGTACCAATGATGCAATCATTAGTCTCCTTGACATTATCTACTCAGCCCTTGACAAAAATGAGTTTCCGATTGGACTCTTCATTGACCTAAGAAAAGCCTTTGATACTGTTAATCACAACTACCTCTTATTTAAACTCCAGCATTATGGAATCCGAGGCCTTGCCCTTGACTACATCCGATCCTATCTTAGTGACAGACACCAATATGTAACCATCAATGATACAACTTCTTCCACTCTACCAATTACCGTTGGAGTGCCACAGGGCAGCATCTTAGGACCTCTTCTATTTCTTATATATATAAACGATCTGCCTAATGTCTCTAATATTCTCAAACCTATATTGTTTGCTGACGATACTACCCTTATCTACTCAAACCTCAACCCACATACACTAAATAATGTTGTGAATAATGAATTAAAAAAAGTCCACTTATGGATGTCAACGAACAAACTAACATTAAACATCGAAAAGACTTACTACATCTTATTTGGAAGCAAATCATCAAATGCAATTCAGCTACAGATAGACAACATTAACATCAGTAATAAAAATGATGGCAAGTTTCTTGGCCTATTCCTAGACAAGAGACTCAACTTCAGCACCCACATTCAACACATAACTAAGAAAGTCTCTAAGACAGTTGGTATACTCTCCAAAATCAGATATTATGTTCCTAACTCTGCTCTCCTCTCACTATATTAGGCACTAATCTACCCCTATCTTAATTATGGTATCTGTGCATGGGGGTCTACCACTGCAAACCACCTTAAGCCCATCATCACACAGCAAAAATCTGCTATCAGAATAATAACAAACTCTGCTTTCAGACAACACTCAGCTCCCTTGTTTAAATCTCTAAACTTGCTAAATATTAACTCCCTCCACACATTCTCTTGTGTCAACTACATTTACAAAACCCTGTTCTTAAATGCAAACCATGCTCTGAAACTCTCCCTGGACAGATGTAATAGGACCCATTATCACCACACCAGAAATAAATATCTCTTTGATATCCCCAGGGTCAAACTTAATCTGTGTAAACACTCTATGCAAATTAAGGGACCTAGTCTATGGAACTCACTCCCTAGTGAATTGAAAAACTGTAAAACTTTTGCCTTATTTAAAAGCAAAACCAAAAAGTACCTAACTTCATCTATTTAGTTTCCTACACTGAGTTTTAAATTTGCTCTGTACCTAGTGGTACCCAATCTCCTAATTTTTATGTAATATCAAACAACCTCATCATTGTGTTCATTGCTGTCTTCTTTTATGTGCTAGCCATATGCTGTATTGTGACTACCAATTTTTGTCAACTACCATTCAAGCTGTCATTGCAATCAATCTTTTATTGTTTCTGCTGTATTGTGCCTACCAATTTGTTGTCAACTACCATTTTAAGCTGTCATTGCAATCAATCATAGCTACCTATGTGCTTTAATATACTGTACCTATAATTTTCTCTCATCTTTTTTTTTTTTCATTCCATGTAATCTGTTATCATTTTTTTGTCTATAAATTTTGCAAGTATTTACCTCCTTAAAATTTTCTTAGATTAAGGACCTGCCCGAAACGCTGCGCGTGCTAGTGGCTTTACAAGACTGTAATTACCATAATTGTATCCTCACATTCCTTATGTACATTCTTGTATATGCATAAATAAATAAATAAATAAATAAATAAATTACAAGCTGAGGTTGTACATCAAACCTGCAGCATACGTCCAAGAATCTGAAGGGATTATATAGCTGGCCAAGACTGCGGTATTATGTATCTGTGGTAGCACAAAATCCTTAGTATCTCTAGGAAAATATGTTAGGCTTTTACCGAGCACTGACATCGCCACAGTACATAATATGCTTTCAATGTTGATTTAATTTAAAGATGTTACACAGGTTCAAACTACTCTAAAGAGCATGGAAAGCTATAAGCTTGCCATAATATTGTCCAGCATATACAAAAGTCAAGTGATGAATGTAATAAAATACTCTATTCTAGGGTGGATTTCTCGGCAGCTTCCCAAGTCCCGGGAAAAATGCACAATACTTATGAAGCCCACTGTAGCTTAGTAGGATCCAGGACTAGAGTCTGAATCACTATGAGACAAAGCGGGAAGCCTGAGGATAATAAGGTTTACTAACAAACAGGTAAAAATCCATCAGAAAGGTTAGGTGCAACAAAAGAAGCATCAGCTTGAAGGAAAATAGTAACCCTCATGTAAATAAGGCAAATCATTGTCAAATGGATACTACCCTTAACTGTAATATGCCCAGCCACTACCAGATGGCAACCAATGTCACCTGGGGCCCTGGTCAGCCATGCACCTTATTCATGAGCCATCAGAACAGAATTCTAAAATACCTATGAGGAAGAGAGAACAGGGTGGAAATGTACAGCTATTGAGAGAAAAGGGCA